ATACATACATACATACATACATACATACATACATACATACATACATACATACATACATACATAAGTCACCACTGACTCTGATCAGTGTTTGTCCTCTGTATAGCTTATTGTCATAGTGATGATAAATGTAATATTGTGTCTACTCTGTAAGTCGCTTTGGATAAAAGCGTCTGCCAAATGCATAAACATAAACATTAACATAAACATAAAGATAAACATTACCTGGTCGTTGAGGTCCAGGCTCTGGAAGCCCGGCACAGCTTTGGCGAACTGGGTCAGTTGGGTGACCGTTTCCACCGAGGTGCTCTGGCAGCAGTAGAACAGCCGCGTTTCCGCCTCCCTCTGCTGGAGATGCTCGCACGCCGCCGCTGTTGCCGTTGCCATGGGAACCAGGGGCCCGGCCGCCGGCTCGCCGCCCGCCTCCGGCAGCTGACCCCTCACCATGTGGACCGCCAGAGTCCTCTCAGCCAACTGGAAGGTCTCCATGTCATGGATGATGAGGGGCTGTGGGAGGTAAAGGGTTAGGGTTAGGGTCAGGTAAAGGGTTAGGGTTAGGATCAGGTAAAGGGTTAGGGTTAGGGTTTAGGAGGAGGGTTAGGTTTAGGAGGAGGGTTAGGTTTAGGGTTAGGGTTAGGTTTAGGGTTAGGTTTAGGTTTAGGTTTAGGTTTAGGTTTAGGTTTAGGTTTAGGGTCAGGGTCAGGGTCAGGGTTAGGGTTAGGACATTGTTTGTCTTCCAATTTCCGATTTCGTATAGACAGTAAAGTTTCGTTTCCACTTCAGAAAGCTGCTAGTCACATGACCTAATCAAAATGGTGAGAAGCTCTTTACTAGGGTTGTCAAAAGCATTGATACTCAAAAAAGCCCCAGTCAGAGGTGGTGACTAAACACCCAGAAAAAGGCCTCCTCAGACCCCCCCGACCCAACGGGCGGCTAGCTTCTGGGTGTTCGCTACCTTAGCTTGTAACAGGGAAAAGAAAGATGGCAGAACTTAGAGCCTTTGCATCCTTATAATTATTGAGCAATGTAGTTTGAATTTCTTTCTGTCTTGTTTTGTTTATTTATGTTTGTTTCTGATTGTTTTTTTCTTCTGTCACTCTTTAATTGTTGCACTGAAACTCACCATAGTTCTTTTGTTGACAGATTTCTCTGCTGCATAACATGTAAATAACACATTTTTTTCTTCTATTGAACATTCAATAAAAAGACTTGATTAAAATGTTTTATTTTTTTTATCAAGATCGCTTAATATTGTGCACACTATACAACCTCAAAATATTGTTATTGTTTATTGTATTTATTGTATTTTATTTATTAATAAAAATAGTTCTACATTTTGGGGTCTTTGTTTTTATCCTTGTGGTGTCGAAAATGGTATCGAGTATGGAATATTTTCCTGAGTAATAATAATAATAATAATATAATAATAATAATGATAATAATAATAATAAAAGAAAATTAATAATAATGATAAAAAAATATATATATTAAAAAGAATATATATATATATATAAGTAATTCTGACTCTGATTTACCGGCTGGCTGGTCTTTCCGGTCAGAATGAGGCGTGCTTTGGCTTTGTTCATGTTGAAGTTCTTCATGTAGGCTCTGTGGATCTCCCGCACCAGCAGCCTGTGGTCGGCCTCCATGGGGCCCTGCAGCTCCTGCTCCCCCCCCCGGCTCTCCTCCTTCAGCTTCAGCTTCTCCGCCTGGGGCATCCGCCCGAAGCGGATGGCTGGTGGGGAAAAAAAAGATTATTAATTATTATTAAAACATTAGGAACCCCTCTGACTCCCCCCTCTCTCAACCAAACCCGCTCAGAAATGGAGACATTTTTAAATCCCTTTTTATCTTTCAAGTAAAAGAGGTTTGAGCGATGCAGATTTATTTTGTTCAGGTTTGTCTCATCGAGTCCAAACATGTCAACGTGGAAAATCTTAAAACTCCAGAGTCCACTGTTAATAATTTGGACTCTCATGGTTATTCCACGAGACACTAAACTAATTTTCTCAAATGCACCTTTACTTACAGAGCAATGAAAGAATGGAACTCATTGCCATTAATTCTCATAAAAATTGTACATAAGTCTGCTATTAAAATGCAACTTAAGAAGTTTTTTGGGAGCGACTTATCTATAAATGAAATGGTTTCATATTCTAATTTATTGTAACTTATTCATAAAATGTTTTAAAAAAATTATTTCCCCTTTTCTATGAATGTTCAGTCTTATTGATATGTATATGATATTCATCATCCGTCAAACATGTTCATGAATGTACATTGTATACTGTATTTTTAATGATGTGGACCCCAGGAATAGTATCTGGGTGTAAAGCACAGCTAATGAGGATCCTAATAATAAATAAACAAAATAAATAAACGTGAGGAGCTCTATTCTGTGTGTCTGACAACTATCTGAATAATATTCTACTCTTTCTTTGTTTCCATATATTGCAAAATAAGTCAACTTATCCTCAGTAGTCCTTAAAATCAAGGAATTTTAACAAGAATTTAACAGTACATTGCCCAAAACTCAGCCAACATAAACCTTAAAAATAACTCTTAATTAGCTGTTGTCCCTCTTTTGCACACCTATGAAAAATTAAGTGGTAATTTTTTTTTTAAAGTCCCATTTTCCTGCCTGGTTGTTTCTTTAAACAGGCCTGGATTGTGGGGGATTAAAACTCACCGTTGTGGGACATCCCCACAGACAGGCACTTGTTGAATCTGCAGAACTGGCACTTGTTCCGGTTCTTCTTCTGTATTTTGCAGCTGCGTTCACATTTATCGTATTCCAGTTTCAGCCGAATGGTCCTCCGAAAGAAGCCCTGCGCCAGAGGGAAATATATGAGCTCCAAAGCTACGTTTTCAAATAAGAAAATCACATTTCTCCAGACAGTCAACCCTGTGATGTCTTTACTGTCTAAAATCTTCCTTTAGATAGAAATCCAACTCCAAAGACGTCTTTTAATCAACTTTAAATGTGTGTACTCTTATACTCCTTTATTTAAGCCTCCTACCACTGCGTACAACAAGTGTTTTCCCTTTTTTTGAGGCTAAAAGGAGATCTCTCCCTCCATTTTCTGCAGGTTTCTCCACATGGAAAAGCCCCCAGCCGGGGAAACATGTTTTAAAATGCTATTTAAAAAATGAATGCCGTTTATGTGTTTTTTTATTTGAAATTTGATTTAGCATGTCTCCACTATTAAGTTCTATATAATGTAATAAGAGTTGCTTGTTCCATATTCAATGTTAAAGCTAAATTAGTTTTGTTTCATATTAAAAGGTTCATTTGTTGAATTTTGTTTAAAGGCGACCTGTCCAACAAATAATAGAGACGTGTCCCAGATAGCCGGAGCGGGCCAAGGACAGCAGCGGGCCGTGCACGCCTCCGTGCACGTGCGTGTGCGTGTGCACGTGCGTGTGCACGGTGATAATGTGGAGCATGTGGGGGGAAGTCAAAATGTGGACAGGCCAAAAGCAGCATCAGGGGCTCTGGAATCTGTTCTCTCCTTTACCTGCCAGTTCTCTGGGACTATAGATAACCTCACACCCCCCCCCC